CCTAGTTTTATATCCCCCCGCGCTGTAGAATGATGATCCCTCTTTTGGGATTGAGGTCACCTCGCCTGTAACAGGATCAACAACCTCAACCATGTCTTCAGGTGGAACGCCTTCGAAAGGATCCTTGGGTGGATCTTTGGGCTTACCGGATGAGGATGATGAGGAACCTCCTTTGCCCTCTTCATCTTCACCGGGATCATAAATCCCACTCTCAAACGCATCCTTCTTAGGATGATCAATCATTCCCTCAGTCGAAGGGACTTTGAGTTCTTTGCCACTTTCCATCGGACCTTTGTCAATCAACTCCTCCACCGGTTTAGCGTCCTCGTCTTCCGGTTTTGGAGGATCGTCCGATATCATGTAGCATGGAATGCGACCCTCACGGATAGCATTATACCTGTCCTTCAATGGAAACACAAAATCTCCGTCAGGCAATGCGAGTTTGTTCGTTCCAACCCATGGCACACTACTATCAAAGTTGTTGTCCATCACCTCTTTGAGAGGGAGAACAAGGAACTCTTTCCTCCATGAGAATTCAGGGTGAATCTTGTATCCCAAAAACACTCCTGGTAGTGAGGTAGGATCGAATTTCAATTTTTCTTTGGTTTTGGTTTTTGGTCCGGTCCAATAGTCAATCCTCACTCCAAAAGGAATCATTGGTCCCTTGAACTTCTCATCGAACCTGAGTTGCCATGGCGTTTGAGACTCCTGATCACCGAGAATGTTGTGCGCCATGCAACAATGTCTGGCAGCATGCGTCCAGTATGTATGGTGCAAACCCGCCTGTTCAAGGTTGATACGAGTTCCATCAAGAACGGATCGAATACTCCTCTCTGCTTGAGCATTACTCTTGGAGATATACGGAACACTTGTAACGTGTCTCCACTTCAGTTCTGATGCTGCCTTGACAAGCTCTTCTGCATTGTCTGAATAGAACACACCAATGTCATCCCGTCCCCGGGTGAAGTGCTTCAATGCAAGAACACAATCTCTAGTCGTTTTCCTAGCCGACGGATATACATATCTAAAGTCCGTAGCTATGTCCTTAACGACTAGGGCGTTTCTTGAACCATCGATAGCCTCTTCTTCGTCATCCCGAAGAATAAGATGATCAACAGTGATGTGATCACCAAACTTGTCAGCATCAACAGTTTCGGATCCTCCCTTCTTGTATGATGGTGGCTTAGTCATCTTAGCCCTTGAACATGTTGTACAAAAAGGGTTCTTGGGAACATGCGTCAACAAATGCGCAAGCGACTTTGCTTCTCGCCTCAAGGCTTGTTCACCACGATCACGCTTTTCTGCTGGTGGATCGGGGACTAACCTGGCATCGATTGCTTCGGGTTCTGCCTCAGCAGACTCATGGGGTGCTTCCTCTACACTAGGTGAAGTAGGGATCGGAATGTACGAAGACTTGCCGTTCCCGGAAGCATGTTCTTCATACTTGTGCCCGATAGCAGTCATAGCCATACCACTGGTTGATGGTAGATAAGGAACATAGTCCTTCACTAGAAGCTTGATCCTCTGCCCATTTGGCTTTTTGAAATACGGCGTATCATTTGACGGCCAAACGAACGACCAATCATGATCAATACATAATTGTCCCACGGATATCACTGCCGGACTATCATCAAGTACATATGGTTTTGCAGTGATTCCCAACAAGGGAATATCAAGATTGGCCTGATCATTAGCCTGGAACACTCCGTTAGCTGTAAGAAGACTAACCGGTTTCGAGGATTCAAACACTTCGTTGCGATTGACCATTTCCCTAGACACCAAATCATTCGCACTGCCAGTATCTGCAATCCATGCGATCTCGGTCGCAGGCATTGTAACCCTTTGGTTCTTAAAACAATGCTTGCGTCCCATTTCCGAATCGCAAAGATAGCCACAACGTGCCTCGACGCCATTCAACTCGTTTGAAACAGCTCTGCTCAAACGATCTGCTGCAATGCATGCATCTTCAGATGCCATTTCCAAAACTTCAGCGTTTCCTTTGTGGTCTATTGGGAAACTGACATGCTTTCTTTGTCTTCGCGCAACAACTGGAAACATTAAAGAATTGCAATGAACCACGTGTTTAAAAACTTCTGGTTTGTCAGCAAAAGAAAGACGTTTCACCTTTCCCCGTCCTGAAGAAGATGAAGGGGAAGAACTGGTGGCAGGTGTAGCAACCATGGCCACGCTTTCCAACGGGCATCTGATAGTAGCAGACTGTGATGATGAGACCGCAGTAGCTAAGACCAGAGTGCGCAGCAGGCAAACAGCGGCTGGGTTAGAAGGAGTACCTTTCCCACCTTTGGATTTCTGACTACCGCCAGAACCGTTGGAGCCACGAGAAGTACTTCGTTTCTTCTTCTCTCTTTTCTCCTTCTTCTTCTTCTTTCGTTTCTTCCGGTCGTCACTTGGTGCGGGTGTTGAAGAACGATCGGGATGTTTGAAAGCACAGTTCTTTCCCCGGTGACAATCACCAGATTTCCAAAACTTGCAAACTTCCGATCTCGATCCCGGAGTCAACGACCTTCCACGTGAAGAAGAAGATCTACCCTTTCCACCACCTTTGGGCCTCCCTTTGCTGGATTCACGGGGTTTCTCATGTTTGAATGGGCAGTCGCGCCTACTGCACTTCCCTTTGTTCTGAAACTCATAGCAAACACCTTTTGGCTTTTTGTCACTTGGGTCGATGACAGGAGCTGCAGGGTCTTTACCTCCAAGACTACGTTTCGTGGCATCCCTCATCTTTTCCAAACGTTTCCTTTCAAGGTATGCCTTGGCTGACTTGATCAAAAAGTCGTAAGTCTTTTCGGCACTCCCTTCCGAGGCGCGTTCGTACATGGCAAGATCATGAGCTAGAGGCTTAAAGTTCTTCACAGCAAGATGAAAATATGCCTCAAGCCATTTCTTGTCAACTTCCGTTCGCATCCCCGCGATAACAGACTCCCATCGCGTAACAAAACCTTTCAGGTCCTCGTTCACCATCTTAACACAGATAAGATCTTCAACATCGTAAATAGCACCGTGTTTGATGGATGTAGCAAAATACTCATGGAACAACAGTAGGATTTGTCGTCCCTTTATCGGTTCTTTTGCTTTCTCTTTGGTCTCCTTAAATGTGTTGAGTTGGCGAGCAAGGTCCCCCTCCGCACAGTTCGTGAGACTTGAGAGGAGTTTTGCATCCAGCGTGATGAAACCCTCAGAGTCATCCAGGTCCTTAGTGGTCACGGCGTCTTCATAAACCTTACCTAGCCATAACCTAGCCTTGTCCGGCTTAGCGGACGCCGCCGACACATTGTCCCGAACTTTAATTCGCCAATCTCTATACCTTTCAGGTGTAGGAAACTTGGGAATGAGGATCTTTTCAGCCTCTTTGGCCCTCTGTTCACGATCCTCTTTCTTCATCTTCTTCAAATGTTTCCTAACCTTCCGGGCAAAGGATGAATCCTCAGAAGACGAGCTCGACGATGAAGGTGACTCGGACGGTGAAGGTGACCCCTTTTTGTTTTTCTTTTTGTTCTTTTTGCGGGGTGATCTGCCACGCTTCTCTTCCTTGTCATCTTTCTTCTTCTTCTTTTTGTCTTTCTTGCTCTTCTTCTTGTCATCGGATGAAGACGAACTTGATGAACTGGGATGATCAGGAGGACCACCTCCAGCTACTTTCGGAGCATTAACCGTTCCACTTGCAAGAGCTTCACGGTAGGGTTCACCGGAACTATCAGTCATTGATTTCTGCATTGATCGATATGGTTGACCAAGAGGTAGCTCGTTTGAACCCATCGGACCTGGAAGAGTTGTCCTGAGGTTAGCCGGTGTACCAGCAGGCTCATAGTTCCCTCGAGCAGATGTTTCCATTTTCTCTCGAAGTTCTCTAATGAGCTCTGTTTGTGTTCTCAACTCTTCCCTCAGTTGCGATTCACGACTCTGCGCTTGTTGTTGTAACTCTGTCAAGTTGTGGTTGTATAGTTGAGCTTCAGTCAACGCAGCATTCTTGATGACTGCTTCATGTGCATTCATCTTAGCTTGCTCGTTTGCAGCCCAAGATGCAGCTCTTCGTTCTTGTAACTCGAGTTGCTCCTTGACATGGTCGTGTGCCTCTCGGTGAATGGCTTCCACTGTCTTCTTCACTTCTTCGTCTTTCTTGGACATCAGTTCCCTGTGTCGCGCTTCTGCAAGTTGTGCGACTTCAGCGGACTTGTCCAGGTTGACGTTTATCATTCTTTGGTCGTGGAAGTTCGCCGTTTGGTTAATGACTTGTCTCGAATCGTTGTATGTACTCGACGGAACGAAGGCAGGGCTCGTGGGAGACAGGATGACCGCACCAGTCGATGTAGCTGGTGGCAACACGTTCCCATGTGCTTCAACCAACGCATCCTCATCATGCTCTGAGGTGAAGACTTCCGTCTGTACATATGACCCATTCTCATCGGCATCACCGACTCTTGACCTCGATCGATCCGTGCCATCTCGAATTGGTTCGAAGGGCCTGTCCGCCATGCCACCTCACGTGTGCGCAGAACGAGGGTGGGTAGGTGACACAGCTAGAATGGCGCGTACCGCTCTTTGGCAATACGGCTGATAACCTGAATTTACAGGCCAACAGCCTACAAGTACCAACATGTAGAGCGCCCTTTTCTTGAGCCAAACATAGAGGTCAATATGGTATGTACAGGTGTACAATCGTGCAAATACAATTTGAAGGTACTTTCGCTCACTCTTGTGTCCTCAGTGGGAAGTATATCAAGTTGCTGTTGGTGGCAAAAACGGCAAAAAGCTCCAGAGTGGTGAAGCTGGAGCTGTTGGGGATGGTGTTTGTGAGCACCCCTCAGCAAATGATGGTGATCGTCTGCTTCAGAGTCCATATAATTCAAGGAGGGCCTTAGGCCTCATGCACAGCATGCTGGCCAACTGATGAGCTCCTCCAACTGGGTCTGTATGCCCTATCGAGATCCTTCGTGCCACGAGATCCTTCGTGCCACGAGATTTTGCAAACCCTTCCATGCCTGAGAGTAGGGGAAAGGCACGGCAATTCGCGCAATTTTTAAACCTGGCGCGGAGGCCATGGAGTCTCGTGCTGTCTCGGTAGTGCAGCGTGGATGATCCAGCATGTTTCAAAGCTCGCGTGTTTTTCCACATGTTGTCTGTGGGTATCTGATGTCCCTCAACTCCGCTTCGGCTATTGGAAAAGAGCCCCAAACTGGCCCCTCAGACTGTCCGGAAAACCATGCTGAAAGCGGCCAAGGCAGCAGTGAATCTGACCCAAACAATCTGTTGGGATCCTGAAACTCCCATCAACTTTTGGTTTCTTCCCTCTGCGATCAGATTCTTCTCCTGACAGTGACAGCCAGGTCCAGTTCTGCCAAGAAGCAATCGTGAAACTTCACCATGCCGCTGGCCAGCTCGCTGTAAGCTCTGGTGAGAATCGGCGAGGGTGCAGACATGATGCCACAATCAATGCCTCGGATCAGCCCGAGCCATCTTCGCTTGTAAACCCAGCGGCTCAAGGCCGTGCTGGTTTAGTTCAGGATCTGGGTGGTTGGAACTTCTCTCAGAAAGATAGGGGCAGGAAACAAGTTCACCTGTTGATCTGATATTAATTGCATGTCTCATCTCAGTGGGGGCAGCGTCGTTTGCTCAAGGATTCGGATAAAGGGTGGGAAAATGAACGCAATGGGTAATGAACTCTCTATAATTACATAAATTCCATGGCGGATTGCTGAAATGAACCCCAAGTTGGATTCCGGATACATGGCATTCCGACTGCAATGTTGCAATTACCCAAGGTTGCATGATGCAAAGACACCCCCGAACACTTCGACGATCAAACAAAACGTGACGAGAATGGTGAACAATGACACCAAGCAGCAGAAGAGCATCAGCCAAGATGCTGGTGACCACGATGGATTGAATCCAATGAAAAACCAACTCCACTTTGCACTCGGCCTTCTTCAGGGCTTTCAAGGAGGTAATGTCGATGCCAACGCCATCAATCACACCTGTGCACGTGAAAGTCAAGGCCAAGGCATGACTTGTGCCCCGCAAAATTGTCAAGGGTCCACTCTGCCACTCGGTCTGCAGTTTCTGCAGAGTCTGTCTGTCCTTGCCAAAAATCCTAGTCCTAGCATCCTGCAGCCATGAATCTTGTTGACTTTATGTGCATGATGTGCCGAGGCGCGCAACCGATAGGCCCAGCGATCCTCATCTTCATCATCATCGTCCTCTAGCTCAGCCAGGCTCAATGCATGCAGCATGCCTGAGTCATCCCAAAGGACACCTGTGCAACATCACAGATTCTCCGAAAAGAAGCACCAGGCTCACACCTTCCCACCCGCACCGCACCGCTGCCCACGCGGTACCGTACCTTCCCACGGTCCGCTCCCGCTCCCGGACGTTGGTTCCCCGAGACACTGAAGAGCCGGACGACGATCTGCCGAAACTCCCAGAGCTTGGCGCGATCCGCCTTGGAGGTCCTGGGGCGCATCGTTCCACGTCGGCCGGGAACGGCCGCGAGGAACGGGCGGAACGGGTGGAACGCTTGGTCTTCGGCGGTCGAATCGGAGGGCAGAGAACACAGCAAAATGATCCAGCTGAGATACGGTGACATGAAAAGCACTTTAAACATGTTTGAAGCGGAGTTCCAGGCAAGAGAACCCAGATCAACCAAAATGGACTATGACTTGAAAGGTGAACTGGGCAGGCACTTTTCTTCATCAACCATTATGAGATCTGCGTGACTGCGGCCGAATCAATTTTCTGATGTCAAGTCAAGTCAAAGCGCTCTTGGAAATCAGCCGCTTGCCTTCACCTCACACCTCGCTTGCTTCGCTTGCGAAACCGGTCCTTGTGAAGGAGATGATGCTGCTCGCGGCATCAAACCAGTCTCCGCGCATCTGGTGCGTGAGAGTGCTCCCATCCCAAAATCGATTGTAGGCTTGGCCAGTTCTGAAGACCACCAAGATCCTGTTCCGCACGTGAACTCGAATCAACGATGAACGTCAAGGCTCGCTCCCCCCGTGCTCCCATGTAAAACAAACATGTGATCGGTCACGACGTCTTCAAAGGCAAAACCGATCACTTCAAGGCCCGGGAAACGACTTCGACCCGACACGAACCCGTCGTGCTTCTGAGGCCGCGGCCCCAGCAGCGTCGAGAAGGCGTTGTAGACCGTGGCATCCATCTCGGCATGGGCTAAGGCTTCACTGAGCTTTGGCCACTCCTCCACCTGCGCCAACTTCAGGACGAAGGCCACCTAAGATCTCCGGCTTGGAGGCCAGGGAGGCCAGGAAGGCCAGCTTGCCACAGAAGAATCCCCTTCGAACCAAGGAGGGTCATTAGTCATGGGACATGGTTTCACTTTTGCCGGGGCCGGGTGCCAGTGCTAAACTTCTTATACAGCAAATCCGTCGCAGAGTCAAGCAAATGCATCCAGAAAAATGGCCTTGAACTGGGCTTGAGTAGCAAGGATCATTCATGCAAATTGGCTGTCCGGTCGCAAGACTCCGACTCGTATATTAATATATTATAGAGAGAGATATATATATATATATGATATGTGTCCTAACTTGTTTCTCCGCAGAGACACGGCGGCACATGGAAAGGCCACTTTGGTGGCGAAGGGAAAGACGCTGCCGTTCAGGTGGAGGAGTGCAGTTAGACTGATCTGACTGCGAAGCCGCGAGAATGCCAAGACCATCCGCGCAAAGATTCACAGCATCGCGCAAGGGCCCTCTCCCCTCTCTTGATCCTCTCGTTCTTGGTTCTGGTCTTAGGAGTTGGATCATGTTGGGGGTAAGCGCACTTCCAAGTTGACAACTGGTAGTCTAGTAGGCCAAAGATGCCCAACACGCCTGTTGTAGTCTTCTGATGTCCTCGTGATCGTCACCCACTCCAAGTCAGGCCTTTAAAACGGTTCGGCCAAAAAGGGGCCAGGCCTTTTCCCTCGAGCCAATGTTACCACACCAGGGGTCGCATGTGATGTGGCGATGTGTGGGCGCAGGTGTGGAGCTCTCAAAGGGTACAACCCAGGCAGTTGCATCAATCAAAACATCTTACAGTAAATTTGTAGTGCTTAATTACCTGGGGAAGGTCGTGAAAACGTGCCATGGACCACACCGTCATGACATGTTGTGCTATACCCCTGGGGTATACCCCAAGGGGTGCCAAGAATATTGCAATAATATTTAATCCATATTCCACTATGTATTCATTATATTGTAGAATATTATGGCTATTTTGTAAAATATAGTCTGCACAGTTTGAAGCTGCAAAGCACGCAGTTGCTTCCAGCCCCCACTCCCTTTTCATTGTGCCTGACCTGTTTCCCGCACAAGGAAAATGGTCAACACAGGGCAGATTCCATGGCCGGGTGAAACATGCCTCGCAATCTCCATGGCCTACCTTTAGAGGCAAATGGCTGTAAGATTCAGACAGGGCCACGTGAGTCTCAGCAAGATTGCGCACATTTTGCACATATTCAGGGGGATACCTGGGCGGTTGGCCTCAGCATCTCATGACACCTGCCATAGACATACCTATTAGGCCTACATGGCCTTCCAATAAAGTGACGAAAAGTCCAAAAAAGAAAGACCGTGTGGTTCATGGGTCTCTTTCTGCTGCCACTCACGCTTTTTGGTTGAATTCATCGGCATCCAACGAAGAAGAGACCAGCCGCCAAGCCTGGCAAAGAATCGACTGAGGAACAAGCGCGCAAAACCGTGGCAGATGAGGACATCCCTCTGCTACACAAACATGCATGATCCGTGGCCAAACGACTTTCCCCCACCACAAGTGGCTTTGCCATTTCCATGCGAGTGAATCCTGGTCTCCATGGTCACCTGCACCCTGGCACGGGGGGATCAGCTTGGGCACTTTTGGTTGGATCATTCAATCATCCCTTGCTGTCATGACATGGTCCCTCAGCAGGTTGAGAAAAGCACTTCCAAAAAGCTGCCAAGCAGGTGTGGTCCCCTGCAAAGGCCTTGGCATGCCGTGGCGTCGCGGTGGGGTCGATGGGAGTGCGAGACCCACTGCAGCTCTCAGCCATTTTGCAGCACCCGATCGACGGCGCTTGGGTGAGACACTAGCTTCCTACAGGCCCACAAGTGCGCGGGGGCCTCTCACCATAAATGAGTCAAAGCCCCTTCTCCTACCTCACGTCCTTCTTTCAAAAAGAAAGTCTTGGCCCCAACAAGTCTGGTGCTCCACGTTTCAGCCTCGGCCGCATTGTTGACTCAGAGTGGTGGAGGACTTTGCGACCGTGGAAGAAGGAGCCCATGGTTTGGGCTCACAGTCTTCTGCGCGGTTTGGGCGCGTGCTCGGTGGAGCGCGGAGGACCATGGCACTGAGGACCTGAAGGGGTGGGACGTCGGGTGGAGGGAGCCTAGTTCCAGTCTGGACGATTCATGTCCATCCAACATCCTACTGCAGTGTTGGGGGGACCCACAGCTTGCAAAAAGAAGTGTATAGATCTTTGCCACACGAGCATGAGCACCAGCCATCTGTGTGGCACCCACCGAAACCCTACCACAACTATCGTATATGTCATAGGGTCTCATCTAACAAATGATGGTCCACCAGGGCCACCAAAAGCACTACTATAACTCCACGTTTTCCACCACCATGGGGATCCGCAGGGTCGATTTTCTTCCAGGACTGTGCAGCTGTACCTGCTCCAATGCCTTCGACCAGCAGCTCCGCTGGTAGCCGCTTCTTGGGCAAGGGTCGCAGCTCAGAGGAAGAAACCCCCAAGACGACACGCTGCGTGCAGTTGCATTGTTTGTATCATGATCTCCGGATAAACCATGATACACCCAAGTAGGTTGGACAGGCAGTTGCAAACAAGCTTGGGAAGCAGAGGGCAAGAAAGGCAAAAGGGTGCAGAAACAACACCGAACCCGAACCATCGTGACCACAGCTGTGCACTTTTGGACAGGTGCCTGACAGAATATCCTTGTTGGAAAGGACCCTGACTCTAGTAAAATCCCCCTTCAGCAGACCTGATGCTCGTCCCCAAATCGAGGCCTCACGGTGTTCAAGGCTGGGTGACGAAGTGGGCTTTTCTATCTATGCGGGCCGACCTGTGCCCAGTCACCCAAAATTGGTGACCTAAGAGCCGAAATCCGAAATACGATCTTGTGCCCCCACTTGAAGTCAAGGAAGTTCCCTTTCAGGTACCCACAACCCCCCCCAAAAAAAGAACACACACACTTACAGAGTATTCTATATATATATCAATATCTCTCTCTCTCTCTCTCTGTCGCTAACATCCTTAGAGTCTCTACCTCCACTTCGTACGCCGCAGCGTTCACGCCGACGTCGGCACCTCGCCTGGCGAGACCGAGGTGCCGTCCCTACAGACCGCCCTCCTTCGAAGCGCCACGGGACGCGACCTGCGGAGCGCGACCGGCGACGGGCACGGGCGAGGAAAGGGAGGAAAGGGAGCTGGGGACAGGAACTGCAAAAGGGGAACTGGGCCAGGCGCTCACCGAGTGAGTTAACTTTTTTTGTTTTTCCTTGTTTCTCACTATGAAGCATGGTCTTCTGCTCAGGCGACGCCAGGTTTTTGGCTGCTCATGTTCACTATCGACTGCAGCGTCTTCCAAGTGGTGTCAAGTTGTCATGCTCTGGTCCTCGGCATGCATTTATTGAAGTAATGAGGGCCCTAATCCCTTGCCCATCCCCGAACCCGCACCTCGTCTTTGCTTCCAGTCCCGGAACGGGCCCGGTTCTTCCCCGGCGGCGTCATGGGTGGGGGCTCGATGTTGTGCTGTAGGAACCTCGGGTGGCGAAGTCACACGAGAACTTGGCGGGCGCGGAGGGTCCGACCTCACCTGCGCTGGTTCCCAACTACTGACCACTGGGGGCACGGGGGCTCGGGGGTCGGTCTCCACGGCTTTGTGTCGGCTTTGTGTCGCGCGCATCTCCACGTGCAGCTGCCACAAAAGATTTCGGGGTTCTGTGCCTTAGGGTACAGGACTGGACCATTCTTGGAGCAAGGCCATCTAAAGCCAACACGTCCTTACAGGAACCTGCAGGGGACCATGCATAAATGTTCGCCACCACCTATGGCCCATGAGGGTGCAAATGGGTCGTCCTCAAATCGGGAGCCAGCGAGTCCGGATTTCAAGTGGAAACCATCAGATCCTCCTTTCTCCACGTGAAATGCTTTGGGTGCCTTTTATCGCAGGCCTATTGAAGCTCATTATGGCTCGTGTTTGATCTCCACCCACGCAGCACCAGCGCTCCCAGCGGCGATTCCCCGTGCCCATTTTTCAGCGCTCACGTTTCAGCGCCAAAGTCTCCAATTGGAGTGAACAGGTATGAGCTATGTGTGCGATGTTGGCTGTGGGTCCGGGTACGTTGTAAGGATAAACACTGTTTCAACTTGAGCCAACGACCAAGGCACCTGTGGCACCTGTGGCTTGGAGAGTCTTGACCCACAACCATTTCTTCTCTTCTGGTGCAACTTTGAGTCATTTTCCTCCGCCTTAATCTCCACTCTCACACCGGTCGTCGCGGGGACTCAAGCCTTCGGTGGTTTTCTGATAGCTTTCGATCACATAGCGCCGGTTGATCGCCTTCTCTGCTCGACTCATCTCGTCTTCGCGTGACTTCGCCAAGGTCTTCTTATTGCACATCTGACCTTCCAACTCCAAACGGTTCTGGAGATACCTGGCAGGGTAGGAACCGAACCGGCCACTTCCCTTCCTATTCTTTCAAGGTTGGGGGGGGCAACAGGCTACAGTACAAACGAATTGGATGCAAAGTTGCAGCCTTCAATGCGCCCCGCCACGCCTCGCCCGGCGCTCTTGCATGCGTCGCTTCTCACTCTGCCGAGCCTCCTCGGCGGCCGCTTGGGCGGCGGCCTTTTGACCGCCCTTCTGCTCCAAAACGGAGCGCTTCTGCTCATCTCGTTCCGCAATCTGCTGGGAGAGAAACCTGCCGTGCCGGATTGGTGACCAGCTGTGACCATCCGCGAGTCTCATCCCAGTTGGCAGACCGTGAAACGACAGTCACAAATCAAAGCTAAGACATTTCTCGTGAAGTCTCTTTTTCTGCCTTTGTGATCTATCTATCTATATAGATCTATTTCACGGTCGCTCTATGTTGCTTTCCTTAAACATCTTTCAACCTCCCTCCCAACTCATTCCAAAACTCCAAGCTGCTCTTGATTGCGGCGCCGCTCCATCTTCAAGCGTTCCTCCTTCCGCACCTCTGCCTGCTCCTGCCGTGCCATGGCCTCGGCGTGGATCTTCCTCACAAGCTCCTCGTCGTAGTAGAGTTCCTCACCCTTGCGCTTCACACGCGGCGGCAAGCTCGGGGACTGGTCCCGGATCTTGGGCTTGGTGGCCTGGCGCAGAGAGAGCCAGTCTGGGGAAAATCACTGACTGGAGCTTAGTAAGGAATAAGGGACTGGATCCTGAGGTATCTACGGGGTGGTTCATATGTAGCTGGTGCAGTTCTGCAACAGGTGAAGCCCAAGTCTCGGCAAAGGTGGGACGCTTGCCCTCAGGTGTTGTTCTGTCCATTCCATTGCAGGTGCAAAAGCCCGGGCCGATGATGATGATGGTGGTGATGATGATGACGACGACGACGATGACGAGGATGATGCTGATGCTGATGCTGATGACGATGATTCTATGCTTGTTTTGGGGGGCTGGAAGCTAGGGCGGGCTTCATATCCTAACATCATCGAACAGCCACCGCTGGCGGGCGCCACCACTGAGAAGACCCGGTGACGAGTCGTCTTGTTCGTCCGTCCGGCTGGTGGTGGCCGCTGTCTGTGATGACCCAGTCATCGCAGTTCAGTAGAAGAAGCTGGTGCTATTCTAGTCTATTCTATTTCTGATCTTTCCCTGCCTTTCTCCTTGCTTCCTGCTTCTCGAGCAGATCGATGTAATCCTGCAAGATCTGCTTCTCCTCATCTATTCGCCTCCCATGACAAATCAATTGATCGCCAAAAAAAAGATCAAACAGGCGAGTCCACAAAACAACTGCAGAGTCATGGAGCACCACCATCATCATCACCATCATCATCATGACCATGAGGCCACCGAGACACGCTCCCCTCAACTCCCTTCTCTCTCTCTCTCTCTCTCTCTATCTATCTATCTAGCTAGCTAGCTAGCTATCTCTCTCTCTCTCTCTCTCTCTCTGTGTTACCTTCAACTGGCTCAGAAAAAGGTGTGCTACATTGGAAAGGCCCCTTCCTGCCCCAAATGTGAAAATCGGGCGGCCGTCTCCCTTAAATTTGACCTTTGGGTGGCCCACAAATGGCATTCTAGGTTGGAATGGCCCCTTCCTCCTCTGAATTGCACCTGGTGGGTCACACAAGGTATGCTACGTTTGAACCTCTGACAAATATGCTAGCTCGTGCGGCTCACAAATGCTATGCCATACCCCGTGTTCATGGCTCCTTTCTTCTCTAAATTTTACCCTCAGGCGGCTCACAAAAACTATTCCAAGTTTCATCAAGTTTCCATGGCTCCTTCCTTGCTCAAATGTTTGCCGTTAAGCGTCTCACACAAGGAACTCTGGGTTGGAATGGCCCCTTCCAACAAAAAACTGACACATGCCCGAAGGAAGGAGCCACTTTACCTGACACTCTGTTCTCTTGGCCAGGCCCAGAAAGCGCCAAACCGAGGGAATGCATTGCAACCTTCTTTGGCTTGTTATATATATATATGTGTGTGTGTGTATGTATACATATTTACAGTATATATGTAGTTATTTATTTACTGTATTTATTTATTTATTCCTGATAGTTCTTCCTTTCAAACTTTTCTCCCTGCCTTCCTTCCCTCCGTGCTTCCTGCTGCCCTTTCTTTATTCAATCCTGTGTTTGTCTGTTCCTTCGTTCCTTTCTTCCTTTCTTCCCTGCTTCCTTCCTTCCTTCCTTCCTTCTTTCCTTCCTTTCTACCTACCTTCCTTCATTCATCCTTCATTCATTCATTATTTATGTAATTTCATTAATTCCTTCCTTTCCTTGAGTACCAAATAGAAGAAACAAAAAAGACAAACAAACAACCCTTGAATATTAAAAAAGACTCCTCCAAAATTGAGGAATGTCAATTCTTCTCCTTCGTCACATGCTTCCCAGTGCATGCAGTTTGGCCGAAGACGGGTTTCATGAAAGTGGCATCTAACCAACAGGATTAGCCGTGGCCTCTGCCGTGCGGCTGGGCCTTTCTGCTTGTTCTGAATGGCCTCCTGAGACGCCGCCGCTTGCGCCAAGCGCGACTGCTGCCGGCGTTCCGCGACGGCTTGCTGTTCCTGGCGGCACGGGCACCGGGCACTCCCAAAGCATCCACCTGGACCCATAGAATCCTGGGGACTTCTTGGGGAACTGGTCGAAAATTTCCAACTTCACGAAACGCGACTGTCTTCCCATCCCACTCCCATCCTCCACTACCCACTCCCATTCCACCAGTCCCTCCTTCTCCATCTCTCGGCAGGCACGTTGCACCAAGCGCTTGTCCTCCATGAGCTTCTGCTCTCGTTCGGCTTCACGCCGCTGGAAGACCTCCTCCGACTGCAGTTCTCGGTCGCGGATCACCTGCTGCACCTGCCGTAGCCGGTCCTGGCCGCGAGCGAATCGAACCGGAGAACCGCGTTCCGGGGGACACGAACGGTGCCCGAAAATGAAGTTCGCACCTCCAAATCTGCACTCTTTCGAGCAGTCCAATCTGAAAAGGGTGGGGATCTGGGTGTGACCAGGACCTTTTCATGCCTGAAATGCCTAGCATGCCCAAATGGCAAAGAAAGAAACTGAATGAAATTTACGACGCAGGGAGGAGCCCCATGCAGGAGAGCTGAGGCAAGCTCCACGAAACCCAGCGATGCTGCCACGGAAATGTCAGTCCTCTGCCTTTTGGGTCTGGTCTCTCTTCCATCTCTCCAGCTCTGCGTCTTGCATCTCGCAGAATCTTTTTTCATCTTCCTGCCAGATAATCGAGTCTTGTTTGACGTCTTGTTGGGGGAATTCTCTTCCCCTCTCCTGCCTGCCTTGAGGTGTAGGTTCGATTGAAACACCCTTCCCTATAGAATGCGCATGTCGACGACTTAAGATGACTTCAGCACAAGCGAGCCAAACTACCATCAAAAACCCTCCACTGCGCCTCTGCCTTCTGTCGCTTGGAGTTCTTCTCATCAATCTGATGCTGCAAATGGGTCCTCCAGCCACGATTCAACCCAATTGCTGCGCCTGGTGTGACATTTGGACCCACAGCACCCCGAAAAGCAGTCCTGATCTCATGCTGCGCGTGTTTCTTGGCCTCTCGTTTCTGAAGGGCTTCCAATTCCGCCTCCTTACATGCCAGCCTCGCGACCGACGACCACCGCAACAGGTCGTCCTCAGGCACCGTGGGCGGTGGTCCTCGGCTCACCTCCCGCGCCGACGGCGGCCCTGTGAGCCGCGGCGCGGAGGGCGCCTGGCTCACCCGGGCCGACTGCGGCGCCGCACGGGGCCGCGCGGAGGTGGCGCCTGAGTACCCGCTGTCGGAGTGCACGCCCTGGATGATGAGCCGTGCCTCCGCGCGGCGCAGGAGCCGCCGCAGGTTGGCCTCACTGACACGGCCGCTGGCCAGGAATTGGTCCACCTCCTGCTCTACCACTGGAGGGCGCTCCTGAAGACCAAAGGTTTGGTCCAAATCCTGCAGGAGTGCACGGCGCAGCTCCTGCAAGGGGGTCAGATCCTAGTCAAGAGGGGGCTGATACATGTTGATACGATATTGGTCTTGGTGCACCTGACTTATGGCATCTGATGGCTCCTGCTCGTCCTTCCCCTTCAGGCTTCCAGTTCCATTTTGTGCTAGCCAGTTGGCAGCCAGAGTTGCCATTCGGCAGCTGGCCCAGGGCTGAAGTTAAGGCTAAGGGCTCAAGAACTTGAGCAGAATGCTGAGGAGTCGCCGGGCCGGGCCCAGCTGAAGATCTGTCGGGAAGGCCGCGCCAACGAGGACGGTGACAGCCAGCAAGTGTTGATGGAATAATCTACAACATATAGATATATAGTATTGAAATCCGCATGAGTTTGCACCTGTCAGTCCCATCTGCAAAGTCCGAGACTCTCAACCGAGCTTTTCTCTCCCAAGATGCTGGTCAGTGAGGATGTTGGTGAGGCGGTTGCTGCTAGCAGTGGGTGTCAGCTTCTTGCCTGAGAGACGCTCCGATGTGGATACGCAGTATGGCACAAAGGAGGAATCAAAGGAGGAATCACACCCTCCTGTGCCCTCCCGCCATCCTACCAGGATGACCGTCAAAAAAATAGAAGGTTCAAGGTTGAAGTTTTCGAGCAACTGCCAAACAGGAGGCTCCAGCCCAGACTTTAGCCAGTTCTTTCACGCAGTCCTGAACTCAGCCGGGGCTGCTGTTGCCACGCTTCATCATGCTGTCGAGTGCCATCTTCGCAGCCTTCGCACTCATCTGCGGCTGAAATAAGCTGCTCTCCTGGAGCCACTGGCCATCGAATGTGGTCGCAATCGGGTTGACGTTCGTTCGTTCAGTGGCCAAACACCAAGACTAAGACCACCAACTATGAACAAACACCCACCCTTTTTCCTGGGAGTCACCCACAATTGGACTGGTCCCATTGGAAACCAACTTTTCCCCAAAACAGCTTTCTACTATCGCCGAGTTCTTCCCATGAGTTCGCTCCCGGCCCCCCCCCCCCCCGTGTTGGCGGCCTGGCCATCCGGGTCGCCGCCGGCGGGTCCGAGGCAGCTCATCCAGGTCTCGTCCGCGCCGAGGTCGCCCAAGTCCGCCTCGGTCTTCACGAAGGCGTGGCAGCGACCTGGAGGGGACCCACGAGGGGAGGCATGTCGAAGCACTCAGCGCCTCAGCGCCCGAGGTTTGACCCGGTGGGGTGCGCGGCCCAAAATCGCACCAATGCAAGGTGAAGCAGGTGAAGCAGTATGTGGTCTTCTTCACGGGCCGACCGCCACCTGCATGGTTTGGGAGATGTTTGGGGATGGTGCAACCTGGAGCGGGCCCCAGGTCGAAGGAGGGTGCAGGGCCCAACCCCCTTCCGCCCGGCTGCCTAAGTCCTTGCTAGCAAGCCAGTTGTACTTTCCAACACGCCACGCCCCGTTGTGGTACCACAAGCACTCCAGACTCCCGTCGCCTAGGCGTTCAATAACGTCGAACACAAGGCCCAAAGTTGCAGTGTGCTTTTCCTACCCTTGGAACACAGCATGCCGCTCAGCTCTCATCATAGGATCTCCTAGTTTTGACATGCACTGGTGTAAGAGTACAAGACGCAGGCACATTCCAATGAGTCCAAGTGGCCCTGGCTGTACACCTGCTTGCCGTTCACTTGCGTGCCATCTGCTGTGAAGGTTCCGTTCAAACCTAAGCTCCAAGAAGACACCAACGGCTCTGAGCAAGGGGAACTCATCGTGGAATCACCTCTCCGCATATAATGTCATCTTCCGCACATCTCTGTCTATCTTAATCAGTAAAACTGCAATCAAGGAGACTGAGGAAACTGTGCCGGAGAGTTCCAGGCCTTTTTGGACTCCATACCGTTCGGACTCCTGTCAAGCAGTGCCAGCTGCAAGCGCAGGCTTGCACATGTCGCACAAGGACCCAAAAGATGCCCAAAGGCGTCGTGCAAGATTCGGTGAGCACCCCGCACCCCTGAAGCTTCTCAAGCGTTCTGCTTTTTTCCAACAAGTGCGACAAGCCATATCCGCCATGCCTTGCCTCTCGTGCGAGGAAATAGCCACCAACGGCATCCCTTCGTGAAATGGGTGTGCTGCTCCTTTGGGATCATTGATGGAAGCACCTTCGGCTCTCAGAGGCCTGGGACACTCCTACTCTCCTTCTGGTTTGACTCCAAGAGCCTCCAAGAGCCTTTGTTCAAACCTTGATGACAGGGCTGCAGTGCCCCTGGCATCAGGACTTGGGCCTAGTCAAAGTTATTCCGTGCCCTCAAAGCTGCCTTGATGGCAACGCTGTAGCCGATGCCATCTGGCTGAAGCTTCTTCTCCAGCAAGTTGTTATAAAGCATCAGGGCCTTGGGCCACTGCGAACTGCCTTCCAACACAGTCATGAGAGCATCGTAGCATCCCACATCTGTCTCTGCTCGCGGCGTCTGATGAAAAACCGCCATCGCCTGGAGCCACAAGGCACCCCTTCCGCACGCGCCGATCGCTGCGCTGGCGATGAATTCGTCAGGGTTGACCTCCGAGACAGGCATCAACTCAAAGATGTCTAAGGCCTCTTGCCACTGATGGCCTCCTCCACAAGCACTGATGACTGCTGTAAAGCTGAATCCATCGGGATCAATCCGGGCCAGTGAGATGTGGTGGAACCTCCAGTTGGGTTTCAAGGAGCCAAAAAGTGCAAAAAGTTGAAAAACCTGACGGCAATCTCCACGAAGGGGATGCAATTGCACGTCTTAAGAAATCTCTAGATACCCCGGCGATACCCCAAAAACACTCCAAGTCCCAAAGCATCCCCTGGAGATTCCCTGAGTTCTGGCAGAAGTGTCAAAGAAATCTTTGTTTGCAAACCCAGGGGCAATCTCAAGGCCTGATCCCAGCGGCTGCCTTTCTCACAAGCGCTGATGGCTGCATTCAAGCTCACCAGATCTGGCTCCAGCTCGGCCTGCATCAAGTCGAAGATGCTCAAGGCTCTCCACCACTGGACACCACAAACACATGCCGTGAGCGCTGCACTGTAGCTGACGACGTTCGGGCGAACTTCCTCCTGACATGGTTTCATTCGGTGTGACCCTAGCGATAAGCTGCACCTAGCTGTGTCATACTGGATGCATGTATGTGTGTAAATATGTGCATACACACATAGAGAGAGAGGTATGTATAGATATATATATATATAAATATATAGTTATAATTAGTTATATATAACACATTGGAACCGCAGTACTCTTCGGACCACTCGATTTGACCAACCAAAAGAATGCCCTGCTGATCCCGTGCTCCTCTGGCATGGCCTCGAGCAAGCTGACGGCAGCATCTGTCTGCGCCGCTCGTCCGAGCACACTAATGGCAGTGCTGAAGCTCTGCACATTGGGCTGGACATGAGCAGCGCTGGCGGCCTCAACCAGCCTCAAGCAATCTTGCCACAGACCCCCCTCTTCGCACGCGCTCATGGCCGCGGTGAAGCTAACAATATCCCTGCTAATCTTGCATCGTGGCATTTCCTTGAAGAGCAACAATGCCAAAGGCCACTGCTCACCCGAGGCCGCTGCACTGATGGCTGAATTGAAAGACACAACATCGGGGAGAAGCTTTGTCGCATGAAGATCATGGAAGATACTCAACGCCCGCTGCCACTGAAGAGCCCTCTGCGAAATGCTGATGGCCGAGTTCAAGCTGAAAAGGTCTGGCTGTAGTTTCGCGACAGGAAGGGTCTCAAACAACTCCAAGGCCCGCCACCGCTGTCCGCCTTTGTCGCATGCGTTCATGGCCGCGTTAAAGCTCACGATGTCTGGCTCCACTCTGATGAGTGTCATGTGTTCAAGAAGTCCACAGGCCTTACCCCACCAGCTTGCGCGAGCACAAGCAGAAATTCCCAGATTGTAGTTGGAAGCATCAAGCGCTCTTGCTCCTCCTACCTCCTCCTCTCCCAAGACCTCTAGCACAAGAACAGTGAGGCCAGCGCCCCGCTGCTTCGCCAGCACCTGCAAGATTTGTTGAGAAACCCTCGGTACCACTTTCAACGATAGCAAGACCTTTCTCGCTGCACTTCTTGAACTGCTGTGACTTGGGTTCCCGATTTTCAAGAGTCTGGCTGCTGCGCCCTCCCGACAGGCAGCCTGCCTGTTGATTCTCTTGACCCTCTTGAGACGCAGAGGTGCGGCCCCGGCAAAAAGCCACACCATCCGATGCCCACGCTTCAATCTGGAGAGCCCCCTCCGCGTGGAACCCCCTTCCAGCCATGGCGAAGGGCACCCCGTCTTCGAGAAAGCCACACCGAATGGCTGGACATAAGGCCAGCCGCTCGAACATGCCATCGAATTCAGGGGCCTGAGCCCATACTTACTAAGCAACTCATCGAAAGGAAGATATACAGTGATTCCCCCAGGCAGCCAACTTAACATGGTCGACTTCAGGAACACCCTGCGCTTAGTTCACGTGTCCTTGGATACCACCTTCAACACCTTTACATCTTACAGATGGGTCAACTCTAAACACCCGATTTGGTCATGTTCTGGGCTCTTCTGTAGGTAACCACCACCATACCCACCGTTGAAAAAGGGGCGAGAAGGGCAAGGAGGCTGTTTTGTTTGGCGGAGGTGTGAACGAACATCTTCCAGGTGGCTCTTCTTCTGTTCGACCGCACCGGCCGAATTGGACATGAAGGGTTTAGGTTTTGCCGCGCTCAGATGTCGCTGCGCGGGCTCCACGGGTACCAAACATAGAGACCCACTGGTCATTCCGATGCTCGCTTGCAGATTCTTCGGAAAGAAAGCAGCTGCAGCTGCACCAGATTATCGTGAGGATACTGGACTCTGCCGTGGAAGAAGTTGATATGGCCCCGATGAAGAGGATAGAAGGCATGTTCTCTCAGCATCCATAAATCCGCATCTTCTAACCCCCAAGCTTCACAACTTCAGTGCTCTGTTTGTTCGCACCTTTCGTCCAAACACGCACAGCCAAGCGCCTTTCTTCGTGCGCCCAAGCGGCCACTGCTGCTGCCGATGAAGCCGGTCAACTGCACGGCCTGCACGGCAAGACCCTTCGGTCCCAAGACTGGACCGAAGTGCCTCCCTTGTGAGGCCCAAAACACCGAACGCGCCGCTCCCAAAGTTTAAAGCAGCTGAAGCCCAGCTGAACGTCCTCTATGGATGCCGAACATGTTCACCAACAAAGTCAGACTTAGAACTAAAGTAAGCCTGGCCATCCAGCAGCTTTAACACCAACATCCAGCTCACCACAAAGCAATGGCCCTAGCAACTGCGATGTATGCAAATGGAAGTCCTCCTGTCAGTGAATTCGACACTCATTTGTGGAGGCCAAACCGCCTCTCAGCCAAGTCACCTGTGCTTCTGATGGCCTTGGAGGCTGTCATTGAAGGCTGAGAGTTGACCACAAAAATATGGTGGCAACAAATGAGTGAGCGGTCAAAATGTCAACAAAGAAGAGATCTTGAGGTCTTCAACTGCCCTCAATTCAGATTCTGAGTCATCACCACAGCCGTTTATGGTGCATCCAAATGGATGCGCCAAATGCCCATGGCCACTTCCGTGGACCAGTTCCAAGCAAAGCTTGCCTTCAAGCCACCCCAACTTGGGTTGATGAATCGGCTCTCACACTGTATGGGAAACAAAGGTTTGGTTGACCCCGCTTCAACTTGCGAACCCGCACCAAAACACCGTCTCCAAAACCCAAGGGGCGATGCAGTGTGCACCACTGGCTGGTCTTGCTTGGGTTCTTCCTCCTTGGGCTCCTCTTGTGCAATTTTGGCGACCTCCTGCACCTGGGTATCCTTGGCCTCAACCGGAGCCAGCCTCAGGGTTCGCAGGACATGCCAGCCGGCCATTCAGCAACCACTTTTGACGGATCAGTAAGTCTTCACGCCTTCACAGGTGGGTCCCAAGTCGCCGGGGGAAGATTGCAAACATCCTTCCACTCGCATGAAAACATAACATCACCCCCCAAAGCCCGCGCGTGGACCATCCAGCAGTTGTTACCTGGTACAACAAGAATCGTGAAATTGATTAAAAAGCAGCTGGCGTTGCCTGCTCACGGGTCCGGAGGATCTGTCTTGAGTCGATGAAGAAGGTTGAGTCTTCGGATCGAAGCGTCGGATCTAAGCCCACAGAGATGGCTTGCAAGTAGATCGAGGTTGCCTGCTCCTAGCAATGACGTTCGGGAACAATATATCAAGGATCAGTGCCAGGTACCATTCCTGGAACCTGTGGTCCACTTCCCGCGTCGGACGTGCCGGCGCGACCAAAAACCGGCCTCTCATCTTTGCTCTTCGCCCGCGGCGCAAGCTCCTGGCAAAATGGCGATCTGCAGGCTTGTTGTGCAACAGAACGCTACTGGCTCCTGAAGGGGATGGGTACGCTCCATGATGCTAAACAAAACTGTGATCATGTGATCAATGCGTACAGGGCAACCCCACGTCCACTTCAATCCACTGTGCAGTTTGAGTTCAGGCTTCTAAGCTTCCCAGGTTTCACAAGGTTTCTCCTTATCGAATACTAAGAACTGGGCAATATGTTGGCACCGCTCAGCCTTCAATTGTTAAAGGATGAAATCCTGCACCTCAAAAACAGCCCTCACAGAAGGTGCTAAGAGGCGTTACACTGTTGGAACGCATTTTTCGCTATGCGGGTGTGGGGGTGTGGGTGGCATAAATGCGCATCCTGCATCATGAGGTGTGTCTGGGAGTGAGTGAGGAAAAAATGTAAAGGTTTTC